TGTACCTTTCATTTTTTTTTTTATCACTTTTAATGCTATAACAGGGAATGCAAATATCCCTTATAACTTCAATGGGCATTGTCATACTGTATATTCTTTTTTGAGAAATCTGGGGTCTATCAGACTCTGGATATCTCCTCTGCCCTTACATTATCTAATCAAATCAAAATCGGCATGATCAGATGCTTTCCCAATTTACAAATGGCGCTGTTTATATTCTGCGAAACTGAAGTGATGAAATGCTTGTAGCATTCGAATTCTTAGACTATAGAGATGATTGGCACCACTGTGTTCTCCAATCAGCTCTATGGTCAGCTGACAGAAACACCGACTGCATTCTCAGGTTCCCCCGATGGCATGAGACTGCCCGAGAAGGCCGTGGAAGGCAGCGGGGGAGGGGGAGCATCCTCTCCCGCTGCTTGTAAAAAAATGAAAAAAACGATACCAGGATGATGCCTGCAGCTGTAGGCATCATCCTGGTATAACCATTCAAAGTCCAGTGATGTACCAGTACGTCGCTGGTCCTTGTTGGGTATATATAGTATGTTCTTTTTTTTTTGCATGCAGCCTGTGGACTGAATGAAAAAATGAGAAGAAATCTCTGCCAGTGTGTGGTATGCCCACCATTAGAAAATACCGCCCTGCTTCCACCCACTTCTAATGGTGGGCACACATTAGGTCACACTTTGCCACAAGCACCATTTCCAAGATTGAACAAATGTCTAAATAGTGGCACGCTTGAATAAAAATTGTCCACGTATAAGTGGTACCCCATATGGAAAAAGGATTACACAAAGTCCCAAACTATCTTGCCACTGCTCCCCATGTAGTCTGGGCATCCGGGGGGCTCCACATGACTATCTTTTCCCTTGTAAATTCAAAAATTTTTTAAGTATACCCTGTTGCCCTCTCACAGGTCTTCTACATCTTGACCCCATATCTGGCACGCTTGCTGGGGAGAAATTGTTTGAATGCAAGGCGGGCAGAAAAATTAATGAGGGACTCATCAACACAGATGTATAAACACTGCAACCGTGCTCTCTGTCAGTGATTACCGGTAATTGCCGGGACCGGCGGGATCCGGTGATGGACACCCGCTGCCGCGATCGACGTTTGCTCTGTTTTGCAGAGCGCTGTTTAAAAACAGAGGTGCCGCCCTGCCACAGTTAAAACACTGTGGCTGGGCAGCAACCAGTTAGGGCTACAGACACAAAAATACTATTCTTGCAATAGGCTTCAATGTCTTGGACATTAGTAGGCATGGTCAGGATGTTCGAGTCGAACCTGAGTTCATCGCCGAACACACGAACAGTAAGGGCATTCAGAGGGCTATTCGCACGCCGCACCCCACAATGCACTGTGCTTTGTGATTGTGATTGGCCAAAGCAATGCACCTGACCATAGGTCAGGTGCAATGCTTTGGTCAATCACAGCACAACTTGGCGGAGCTAGTGGTGTCTTCACCACTAGCTACACCCACTTGTTTATGTCTCTCCAGCAAATGTAGGATTGCGAAGAGTGCTTGGTGGGTGCAGATGGGTTGGTGGGCATTGTGTTGTGTGTCAGGGCCCTTGTCCAGAGCAGCATGGATCCTCTACTTCTCAGGTCCCTCGCAAGCTCTCCTGGCCCCTCCCTCCTGTTGGGTGCCCCATAGCAAGAATCTTGCTATGGGGTAACCCGCTGCTTCGTGTGTCCATGCACACACAGAGCCATGACTCAGCCCACCCCCTCTCTCTTTCTCATTGGCTCACTGGCTGTGATAAACAACAATGGGAGCTAATGGGTCCCGATTCTGTCTCAGCCAATGAGAAGAAGGAGTCCCGGGATAGCCGAGACTCCAGTGCACATCGCTGGATTGAGAGGGGGCTTAGGTGAGTACTAGGGAGGCTGGGGGGGGGATGCTGCACACAGAAGGTTTTTTACCTTCATGCATAGCACGCATGAAGGTAAAAAACCTTTAGCCTTTACTGGAGGCCATCCCCATTACAGAGGTTTCCTTAATAAATTTTGTATATACTTTCAGATGCTATCTGCTACATTTATTTCTGACATGATGTTTATTATCAACCTCCTGACTGAGGAACCCGTAGCCTGGGCCTCCCCTTATGTGGAGTAAGACAAGCCCATACTGGATAATTTAGATTCCTTTGTGGCTGCTATGAATTAAGTTTTCAATTATACTAACCACTTCACTGCTGAGACAAAGTTGCACAATTTACGACAGGGTAGACGCTCTGTTGCAGAATACACAACTGAATATTGACATTGGATTTCAGATACCACACGCGGAGCCATGGCTTGGCTGCACCCCCCTCTCCTCACTGGCTAACTGGCTGTGATTGACAGCAGCGGGGGCCAATGGCTCCCACTTGCTGTCTCAGCCAATGAGAAGGCAGAGACCTGGGACAGCTGAGGCTGTCATTCACATCCCTGGATCGCGATGGGGCTTTATTGAGGTAAGTATTGAGGGGGCTGGGGGCACTGCTGCACACAGAAGGTCTTTTACCTTCATGCATTCTTGAGCCTTTACAACCACTTTAAACTGAATACAGTAACTCTACACCAAGTTCACTATATGGACCACTTATGTATTTATACATGTTGATCATATCTCCTTAAGCTCCACTTCTCAACAGAAAATAAATTCAGCTCAGTAACCAGCAAAATCAGTTTAATGTTCTGTTGATAAAGCCAATACTTGTTTTCTATTTTCTATCCTATTTGGTGTGACAATAACCACCACCAGATTAAATTGACATCTTCCAGAGGTGGGTGCTGTATAAATTGCCTAGAAGCTCAAAAAATAATCCCAATAAATAAGAAAACACTTTTTTAAGCATTGTCAGTTGTGCTCATTACTAGTGCAGCCTCTTCATCCCTGTCCATTTCTTTTTACCAGCTAGTGCTCTTCTGATTTCTGTCAGTACCCTGCATGACCGCAGAAGCACACATCAGCCTCAGTTTGGTGCCAGACGGCCTTTATAAGGAGGCTCATCACTTCCTCACATTGCTGAATGATCTCTAGCTCCCCGTGCCTTGTTCCTGTTTCCTGTGATTGTAACCTGTGATTTCCTGATACCAACTCGGCTTGCTCCTGGACCTGTCTACTCTGTTTTACCCCTGATCTGACCTCGGCTTGGCTTACGGATACTCTCTCTCTCGTTCCTCTGTGTATGACCTCTGCAATCCAATCTGACTACGTCTGCTCTGATTCCCACCTGGTACCTGACCTTGGCTTGAACCAACTGCCCAGTAAACATCTAAATCCTGGAAGGGCTTGCATACCACGCACAGGCGCCTCCTGTCTACAGACCTATCTCCGTTCACCAGCTGTGCTTCTGAGTGGACCACCAACCAGCACTCCTACAGGCGACCTGTGCAACTTTGGGCCTGACTCCCTGTCAGGAATGGACTGGCCAGCTATGGTGGGACTCACCTGCCTTTTGATCTGCAGTACCAGGGCTGGCCAGCGGGTGTTCCCAGCAATCAGAGACTCAACTTTGCAGCCAGCTAACACCTGTAACTGATTATGCTGGGGTATTTAAGGGATGGCCAGACCCACAGACTCTGCCTTGGTGTGTGTTTGTCCTGGGCCCTGTATCCTGTTTCTGTCCTGCATCCTGTTTCTGTCCTGCATCCTGTTTCTGAACCGCTGCTGACTTCTCCTGCTCTGATCCCGGCTCGCTCCTGACCATCCCTCTGTCTGACCCTCTGTACCACGCTGCTTGCTACCTGTTCTGATCCCTGGCTTGTGTCCCCGACCAATCTCCGCGTGCTCCCCATGTACCTACCTGCCCTATTGATATTGACCCGGCCTGCCTGACGACGCTTGCTTGTATGTACTGTTATCTGTGGGTGGTTTGGTTTGGTTTGTTTGCACTGTATTATGTTTTAGTATTGCACTGCGTTTATGTTTGTATTGTTAGTGTTAATAAATTATATTGTTTATAACATATCTGAGGTCTGCGTTTCCCTGCGTCAGTCACACATCTCTGGTCACACCTGGGAGCCCTGACATTACACCAAGGCCAATCCTGACCAGAAGTGGCTGCACAGGGAAGCCATCTTGGCTTGTTGATGGGAAGGATGGATCTGGACGAGGTTGAGTATTTATCTCTGCTAGTGCTTGATGACAGAGAGTATGCTTATCAGACTCTGAAGGAGTATCCCAGGGATCAACTACTAGAATGTATACGGCTCGCTCATGTTCTAGTAGATCAGGGCACAGATTTCTCTATGGTGCAGCCATTGATTCAGGTTTGTGTTGAGTTGGTTTCATCTGGTTCCCCCGAATGCAGGGATGAATTTTTGCCACCATTTAGTGCAGACCAGGTTGAGTCCCTGGTGTGGTTATTAGAGGATGATGTGGGTTACTTTCTGGAGCGTTATTCCACATGTTCACCACAGACACTAAGAGATTGTATAAAAACGCAGTGCAGTCATTGACCAGACAGGCTTTGTGTAAGCTCAGCTTTGTTCAACCCATACTGCAGACATGGACAGACTTGTTGCACCCAGCCTCAGTCAGCTTACAAAGACCCAGTCCTGCTTCTAACTCTACTCCTGTATTCCCACCAGCTCCTCCAGTTATATACTTGGCTATCTACCGCATGTCAGTACCCTGTTCCCACTCGCTGCACCTATCCTGCCTTTAACCCTGTAAAAAAGCCCTCTGTAGCAACTGCTCCCTCTCCTGTTCCATCCTCCAGTTTTTCTCTGTCTCCAGCTGCTCCATTCGTTTGCAGACCTGCGTTTACTTGCAGTGCTCCAGTAGTTAAAACCAGAAAAAAGCGAAAATTCTTTCCAACCAATACCATCCTGCCAGTATCCAAACCGTGAACCTGCCTGAACCTGCCTTCCGTGACTCAGCCTGAAGCCTCTACTCAGCCTGATGCCTCTCTTCAGCCGGATGCCTCTCTTCAGCCGGGTGCCTCTCTTCAGCCGATGCCTCTCCTCAGCCGGATGCCTCTCCTCAGCCTGATGCCTCTCCTCAGCCTGATGCCTCTCCTCAGCCTGATGCCTCTCCTCAGCCTGAAGCCTCCTCTCAGCCTGAAGCCTCTACTCAGCCTGAAGCCTCTCAGCCTCAGCCTGATGCCTGCATTCAGCTGATGCCGCTACTCAGCATGATGAACTGATCCAGCCCGACGATCCTATTAGGCCAGTTGACTCGATGCCCGCTGTTGATCCAGATGATCCGGTACCTGATCCAGTGCCCGCTGTCGTGCCAATTGACTCAGAGCCCGCTGTCATACCTGGTGACCCGGTGCCCACTGCCTTGCCAGATGACGCGGTGCCCGCTGGCAAGCCAAATGACCTGATGCCTGGTGACCCAGTGCCCGCTGTCATACCTGGTGACCCGATGCCCGCTGTCGAGCCAGACAATCCGATACCTGATGACCCGGTGCCCACTGTCGTGCCTGTTGACTCGGAGCCCACTGTCTTGCCAGACGACTCGGTGCCCGCTGTTCCGCCAGTCGACTCGGTGCCCGCAGTCTTGAGTGCCAGATGACTCGGTGCCCGCAGTCTTGCCAGACGACTCGGTGCCCGCAGTCTTGCCAGACGACTCGGTGCCCGCAGTCTTGCCAGACGACTCAGTGCCCGCAGTCTTGCCAGACGACTCGATGCCCGCTGTTCCGCCAGTTGACTCGGTGCCCGCAGTCTTGCCAGACGACTCGGTGCCCGCAGTCTTGCCAGACGACTCGGTGCCCGCAGTCTTGCCAGACGACTCGGTGCCCGCAGTCTTGCCAGACGACTCGTGCCCGCTGTTCCGCCAGTTGACTCGATGCCCGCAGTCTTGCCAGTTCACTCGATGCCCGCAGTCTTGCCAGACGACTCGGTGCCCGCAGTCTTGCCAGACGACTCGGTGCCCGCAGTCTTGCCAGACGACTCGGTGCCCGCTGTTCCGCCAGTTGACTCGATGCCCGCCTGTTCCGCCAGTTGACTCGGTGCCCGCAGTCTTGCCAGACGACTCGGTGCCCGCAGTCTTGCCAGACGACTCGGTGCCCGCAGTCTTGCCAGACGACTCAGTGCCCGCTGTTCCGCCAGTTGACTCGATGCCCGCAGTCTTGCCAGTTGACTCGATGCCCGCAGTCTTGCCAGACGACTCGGTGCCCGCAGTCTTGCCAGACGACTCGGTGCCTGCCAGTTCCGCCAGTTGACTCGATGCCCGCTGTTCCGCCAGTTGACTCGGTGCCCGCCCGCAGTCTTGCCAGATGACTCGGTGCCCGCAGTCTTGCCAGACGACTCGGTGCCCGCAGTCTTGCCAGACGACTCGGTGCCCGCAGTCTTGCCAGATGACTCGGTGCCCGCAGTCTTGCCAGACGACTCGGTGCCCGCTGTTCCGCCAGACGACTCGGTGCCCGCTGTTCCGCCAGTTGACTCGGTGCCCGCAGTCTTGCCAGACGACTCGGTGCCCGCAGTCTTGCCAGACGACTCGGTGCCCGCAGTCTTGCCAGACGACTCGGTGCCCGCAGTCTTGCCAGACGACTCGGTGCCCGCAGTCTTGCCAGACGACTCGGTGCCTGCTGTTCCGCCAGTTGACTCGATGCCCGCTGTTCCGCCAGTTGACTCGGTGCCCGCAGTCTTGCCAGACGACTCGGTGCCCGCAGTCTTGCCAGACGACTCGGTGCCCACAGTCTTGCCAGACGACTCGGTGCCCGCAGTCTTGCCAGACGACTCGGTGCCCGCAGTCTTGCCAGACGACTCGGTGCCCGCAGCCTTGCCAGACGACTCGGTGCCCGCAGTCCCGCCAGTTGACTCGATGCCCGCTGTTCCGCCAGTTGACTCGGTGCCCGCAGTCTTGCCAGACGACTCGGTGCCCGCTGTTCCGCCAGTCGACTCGGTGCCCGCAGTCTTGCCAGACGACTCGGTGCCCGCAGTCTTGCCAGACGACTCGGTGCCCGCAGTCTTGCCAGACGACTCGGTGCCCGCAGTCTTGCCAGACGACTCGGTGCCCGCTGTTCCGCCAGTTGACTCGATGCTCGCAGTCTTGCCAGACGACTCGGTGCCCACTGTCGTGCCTGGTGACTCGGTGCCCGACGCTTCGTCTGGGGGCCCGAGACCTGTTGCTCCGCCTGAGGGCCCGAGACCTGTCGCTCCATCTGGGGGTCCGGCGCCCGCCGCTCCGCCTGAGGGCCCGAGACCTGTCGCTCCGCCCCCCCCTGGGGGTCCGGCGCCCGCCACTCCGCATGGGGGTCCGGTGCCCGCCGCTCCGCCTGGGGGCCCGATGCCTGTCGCCCCGCCTGGGGGCCCGATGCCTGTCGCCCCGCCTGGGGGTCCGATGCCTGTCGCCCCGCCTGGGGGTCCGATGCCTGTCGCCCCGCCTGGGGGTCCGATGCCTGTCGCCCCGCCTGGGGGTCCGATGCCTGTCGCTCCGCCTGAGGGCCCGAGACCTGTAGTTCTGCCTGGGGGTCCGGCGCCCGCCGCTCCGCCTGGGGGTCCGGCGCCCGCCGCTCCGCCTGGGGGCCCGGTGCCTGTCGCCCCGCCCGGGGGCCCGGTGCCTGTCGCTTCGCCTCTGCCCGGAGTCCTGCCCGATGTGCCTCTGCCCGGAGTCCTGCCCGATGTGCCTGTGCCCGGAGTCCAGCCCGATGTGCCTCTGCCCGGTGTGCCTCTGCCCGGTGTGTGCCTCTGCCCGATGTGCCTCTGCCCGGAGTCCAGCCCGATGTGCCTCTGCCCGGAGTCCAGCCCGATGTGCCTCTGCCCGGAGTCCAGCCCGATGTGCCTCTGCCCGGAGTCCAGCCCGATGTGCCTCTGCCCGGAGTCCAGCCCGATGTGCCTCTGCCCAGAGTCCAGCCCGATGTGCCTCTGCCCGGTGTACCGCTGCCCGGAGTCCTGCCCGGTGTGCCAGTCTTTGATATCCCGCCAGTTACCAGACCCGGGCGGTGGAACATTTTTCCCAGCTAGGACTGTTTGGAGCGTCCTGAGGCCGCTCCTTGAGGGGGGGGTACTGTCAGGAATGGACTGGCCAGCTATGGTGGGACTCACCTGCCTTTTGATCTGCAGTACCAGGGCTGGCCAGCGGGTGTTCCCAGCAATCAGAGACTCAACTTTGCAGCCAGCTAACACCTGTAACTGATTATGCTGGGGTATTTAAGGGATGGCCAGACCCACAGACTCTGCCTTGGTGTGTGTTTGTCCTGGGCCCTGTATCCTGTTTCTGTCCTGCATCCTGTTTCTGTCCTGCATCCTGTTTCTGAACCGCTGCTGACTTCTCCTGCTCTGATCCCGGCTCGCTCCTGACCATCCCTCTGTCTGACCCTCTGTACCACGCTGCTTGCTACCTGTTCTGATCCCTGGCTTGTGACCCCGACCAATCTCCGCGTGCTCCCCCTGTACCTACCTGCCCTATTGATATTGACCCGGCCTGCCTGACGACGCTTGCTTGTATGTACTGTTATCTGTGGGTGGTTTGGTTTGGTTTGTTTGCACTGTATTATGTTTTAGTATTGCACTGCGTTTATGTTTGTATTGTTAGTGTTAATAAATTATATTGTTTATAACATAGTCACACATCTCTGGTCACACCTGGGAGCCCTGACACTCCCGCTGTCCCACTCTCAGGGGAGTCCGGAACTTAGCCGCAAGGAAGCCCTCTCTCCATTGGCCTCCATCACCAGGTACGTGATAGAGAAGCTTAGACTATATCAGAATACATTCTGTACTGTGAAATTTACCTGCCGGAGCAAGGCTCCAGCCAAATGAGATTTATACTTAACAGGGGCGGACTGACCACTTGGAAACTTGGGCACTGCCTGAGGGCCCGTGGTCAGTATGGGGCCCCATGAGATGCCCCTGGTACCTTTTTCATAGGCTTCTTTGAGTTTGGGCAAGGACACAGGGGCCCCATGAGAGTTGTCAGTCCATCCCTGATACTTAACATTATCAATACAATAAATGTTACTACTAC